TTTATTAACGTGTTTTGACAACTTTGTAACTCTCAGTTGATGATGGATCGCGAGTTGGAACAGGAATTTCACACCATATCTCTGATATTGGAGCTGGAGCTATTGCTAAGCAGACTACTGTGCCAAGTAGTACGTTATCAAGCCAGAGCCGTGGTGAACGTTCCAAGAAACCTACAGAGAAGTGCCTGCAGTATGCATTGGAGACTAGACAGAGGGAACGAAATAGACTGACTAGTCAGTTGAGAAATGGTATGAAACGAATCTTGAGATCGTTAGATGAATGATAGGATTTAACTACTGTAACAGAACAGTTCACAGAATGGATGGATACATATGAATCGTTTATCAGTGCACACAACAGATATCATGACCTTCTGTCAGAGGAAGCTCAATGGGAAGACTTCCATCGATAGATTCTTGTAATGAGTTCAAAGCCACTGTTCTTCATTGGATTCAAGGAGCTGAATCACAGTTGAGACAATCTATTAGAATGAATGAGAAAGTGAAACCTGAGGACAGCTCCAGATCCAGATCTAGCCGGGCTTCATCAAGGGCCAGCTCTCTCTCCGTGGCTAGAATTAAAGAAGATCAAAGGAAAGTAGAGTTGTTAGCTCGAGCTGATGCATTGAAGAAGAAGCAAAAGTTGGAACAAGTTTACTCAGCCTGAAGATGCAAGAAGAAGAATTGGAGCTGAAAACAGAATTGAAGATATCAGATGCTAGGAGAAGTATACTTGATCAAGCTGTGAACTATGAACATGAATTTGCACATACTGCGCCTAGTTGCAGTGGTACTAGTTTACATGTAGACGGTAGAAAGAGTAGGTACTTTGACCATTTTTTTAGGCCTGAAATAGGGATACAGAGATTAGGGCTAGGTACGAATCTGTTGGAACAGGATGTGAATCATGATGCAGGTGAGTCCATTTTACATAGTCAGAATGTGCGTGAGGATGATGGTGTGAGTGTTGGCCATGCGCGTGGTGCGCGGGGCATGCGCTTTGTTGGCGGTCACGATAGTGACAGCAATTCAGGTTCTGGATCCTCTGTTGCAGGTCAGGTATCCTCAAGTGAAGTCATCTTGGCCATGATGAAACAAATTAAGAAACCGCAATCAGATATCAAGAAGTTTGCTGGTAACCCCATGGAGTATAAGAAGTTTATTCGTCCGTTCAGGACCAGAATTGC